TTTGGGACATGCTGGGGAAATGGCTATTTTTGCATGAATGTAAAAAAAAAAAAAAAAGCATAAAATTATGCTCCGTTTTAATGAAAGGGTGGTTTAACTTGACAAAACATATGTCTCTTATTAACAGTAAAAAAAAAAAAAAAAAAAAAAAAAAAAATGAAATGAAAAAAAAAAAAAAAAAAAAAAAAAAAAGAAAAAAAAAAAAAAAGGGGGAAAACCCACCCCAAACCCAAACCCACCCACACCCCCAAACCCAACCCAGCCGCTCGGCCACAGGCGAGGGCGCTGGGGGGCTCAGGCCCCCCCTCGGCCCGTCTCTGCTGGGGGGGCAAGGGGGGTCCCGGCCCCCCTCCCGGCTGTGCTCGTGGCGTGTTGCTGTCACTGGTGGTGGATGTTGTTCTTTGGGCTCCGCTTTGCTCTGTCCTGCCCCGGCCCCTGTATATAGAGAGAGCTCTTTATTTTTGAATTCCCACGGGGGTCCCCAGCCACGGGGGGCTGCCAGGGGGTGAGTGAGGTGGGGGGGACACACACAGACTCTCTTCCCCCTCACCCCAGTCCAGTGCTTCCCCGGGGAGTGCTGCCCGTGGGGGCCYGAGGCTGATCCTGGGCACTGCTGCGCAGGGGAAGGCAGTGGGTGCCATGCGGTGGGTGCCATGGGGAGGGTCCCCGCCAGGCACACCCCCGTGTCCCCACCCCAGCCATCCCCACCCCAGCACTCCGTGTCGCAGGTGCCAGCTCCAGGCGCTGGCAGGTTTTGGCAGGGGGGTGTGGGTGCCACGTCAGGGGGCAGAGGGCGGCTGGGGGGTGCTGGGGTTCGGGGTGGGGGGCTCGGGACGATCCAGCCAGCACTGACGCAGCATCGAAAGCACTTTAGACTAAGAGAATGGGTCTCTTAGGGGGCACAGGCTGCTCCGCCGGGGTCCCCCCCAGCACAGGGGCACTGGCAGCACATCCTGCACCCCCCCTCCCATGGCCAGCGCTCGGGGGGACCCCGTCACCCCCACCCCCCCCTCCCTGGGGAGGCATCGCTCCACTCCAGGCACTCCCCATGCGATTCCCCAGGGCATCCCCACCATGCTGAGGGCTGGTTTTGGCTGGGGGGGAGGGGGCGGGATGGGTGAGGGATATTAATTATTTTTTAATTATTCTGATGATTTCTCTGCATGCCCTTTGCGCGGGAGCAACCCTCGGGCGCTAACGCTGTATGTCGAGGAGCTGAGCTGAGCTGTTCCTGTCCCATGAATGCTGGTGGATCGTTGCCAAATTTTTCTCTTTCCTCCCCTTTTCTCTCATTCTTTTTCTGTCTCCCCATCCCCAGCATATCCCCCCCACGCCCCTCCCCCTAAAAAACCCTTTGTCTTTTCTTTCTGAGCCTTGTAAGTGTAAAAGATGACTCTGATTTCGTTTTTGTCTCGGGAAAACTGCAAATAAATTATGAGGAAAAACCAATGATTGTAAAAGTTAAGAGATGGAGAGAGAAAGCCAAGGGCATCCATCCTTGCCAGGGTCCCCCAGAAAGTGTTTGTCACTCAAATCCCACCCTGGGACACTGCAGAGAAGGAACAGGGCTACAACTGCCAAAGACAACTTTATCCGCCTGGCCAGTGCAGCCAGGGCACGCAAACAACCCGAGAGCACCGCGAGGTACAGCCCAAGCCCGACTTTTCCCTTCCTGAGGAGGAGGAAGAGGAGGCAGTGAGGGCTGCTGGGCCCTGGCAGATGCTGATCCCCCCCAGCCCGGCTGGTGGGAGCAGGGGAGGGGCTCTGAGGTGCAGGGCAGGCTGGTGAGCTCCCCCCCTGCCCCGGCACTGGCACACAGCTCCAGGCTCATCAGCACGGGGAGAAGATGCCCAGGGGGGCACTGAGCACCCCCTACCCAAAAAACCATTTTCCCTTCCCCCCCTTCTCCCACCCCCCAGCTCACCCTYAGGACACAAATACATAAAAGCCCCCAGCCCCCCGGACAGCAGTGGGGGGCCCCTCCAGGCTTCCCGCAGGGGTGTGAAGGCAGGGGGGGTGCATGGCCGAGCACCCCGTGGTCCGAGCTGTCCCAGAACAGCRAGGATGGGGGTCTGTGGTGTGGACCTTCACCCACGGGTGCTGGCCCCGTGCCAGCCTTGGTGTCCCCACAAGGTGGACAACAGTCACATCAGCCCAGGGGGCTGACGACCCCCGGCCCAGCCCCAGGAACAGCCCTGGGGTGGCTGCGGAGCGGAGTGGAGGGCTGGTGGTCCGGAGGTGGAGACCCTGGGCTCCATGTCACATGATTTCACAGCAGGAATTCTGCTTTCGGGCCTAAGAAGAAAAGGAAAACCATCTATAAAGCTCCCCAAAGGTTTGGAGGTCCCAGTGCCTCCCACCTGAGCTCCCACAGAGCCCCTGTCCTGCTGGAGGGGGCCGGCATGGCACAAAGGCTGATGACACAGAGGCTTCTATCCTTTTGGCCAGAGCTGGTACCAGGATCTGGGATGGGCATCACCCACTGCAGGGTGCTGGACACCCCCAGCTGAGGGGTTGGGGGGCTCTGCATTTGGAATTGGGGCACTCAGGCTTTCTCCAGGCCATGTAGCCAGGGGTGATCCCTGCCTGGCTCCCAGGGTTCATCCAGCAGGGTGACCCCCCCAAGGGTGACACCCCACCCATCCCCAGTTCCCTCAGGCAGGGGGTGACCCTCCTCACCCACCGTTTTGTAGAAGGCTTTGGATTGTGCTCCCAGCACCTCCGATTTGGAGACCAGGTCGTCCAGCTTCTCACCACGCTCCAGCAGYGATTCCATCGTGTTGTGCTGCCAGGGAAATGTGTGCACTGAACCCCAGCACCAGCGTCCCCCATGCCACCTTCCCACAGCCCCCCCAGCTCTGTAGCCCCCAGGGAGATGGCAGCTTGGCTGGGGGCCACAGGGTCACCAGGCACAGAGGTCAGAGCCCTGGTGCTGGGAAAAGCCCGAGGAGAAAAATGCAGGCAAGGGGAAAAGGGGAAGGGAAAAGGGAGCTCCCACAGCTGGGAGATCCCCAGGGAATGGTGATTGCTCCCTCCACAGGGGTGACACCCCCTGGCCCCACAACACGCCCCCAGGGCCCACTGGCTTGTGCTGCTGGCCTCTTGTGGCCCTGCAGCCTTACCAGGATGATTTTGGTCTCGTCCAGCTCTGCCTGCACTCGGGTCATCGGGTCGGCATCGCGGGGGTTCTGGGGACAAACAATGTGATGCTGGCACCACCGTGGGGACACCAGGGTCCCAGCATGTGCCAGGGTGTTGCCCATCTCCCCTCCCCTGCCATTTTCAGAGAACACAGGAACCCTCTGCCCTGCAGAGCCCCGGGGGTCTGTACCTGGTATTTGCTGAGGTATCCATCCAAGGCAGAGTAGCTGATGGTGGCAGGTGACCCTGAGGGCCAGTCCATCTTGCTGACCTGCCTGGAGAACTCATCGAGCACCTGCCAGGTGAGGAAAGAGCAGTTACCACCCAGGAGCTGCAGCTGTGGGGCCACAGCGGCTGCAGGGGTTTGTTCAAAACAGCAATTTTTGGGAAGGGACCTTAAACCTCATCCATGTGTCCCCCAAGTTGCTCCTAGCCCTGTCCCACCCGGCCTTGAACACTTCCAGGGATGGGGCAGCCACAGCTTTCTTGGGAAACCTGTATTAGTTCCTAACACCCTACAGGGAAGCATTTCTTCCCAATATCCCATCCAACCCTGTCCTCTGGCACTGGGAAGCCACTGCCCCTTGTCCTGTCTCTCCAGGCCTTTGTCCAAATGCCCTCTCCAACTCTCCTGGAGCCCCTTTAGGTACTGGAAGGGAGTCTGGGGTCTCGCTAGAGCCTTCTCCTCCCCAGGCTGGAAAGCCCAGCTCCCCCAGCTTGTCTCCCCAGCAGCAGCTGGAAAACTGGGAACTGGAGAACTGCTGGTGGAGAAGTAGCTGGAGGTGCTGGTGACAGCAGCTGGACATGAGCCCAGGTGTGCAAGGAGGAAAATACACCTGGCCTGTACCAGCCTTGGTGTAGCCACAGCCCCAGGACAGTGACCATCCTCTGTGCTGGCACTGCCAAGGCCCTCTGAGTGCCGTGTCCAGCTCTGGGAATGGCAAGAAGGACATTGAGGGGCTGGAGCATGTCCAGAGACAGGGAGGGAGCTGAGGAAGGGGCTGGAGCACCAGGAGCAGCTGGGGAAAGGGCTCAGCCTGGAGCAAAGGGGGATCAGGGGGGATTTGGGGCTCTGCACAACTCCCTGACAGGAGGGGACAGCCGGGGGGGTCGGGCTCTGCTCCAGGGAACAGGGACAGGAGGAGAGGGAACGACCTCAGGCTGGGCCGGGGGAGATTCAGGCTGGATATCGAGAAAATTCCTTCATGCAAAAGGGTTGTCCAGCCCTGACACAGCTGCCCAGCGCAGTGCTGGAATGGCCATCCCTGGAAGCATTCAAAAAAACATGTGGACGTGGCACTTGGGGCATGGTTTAGCGGTGGCCTTGGCCA